TATCAATATATGCTTCTAAACTGTTGTATCTGGGTGCCTATGGAAAAACAGTGATTATGTATGAGTGAGGTGAAAGTGTTGAATGATGATGAAAGTATTTTCTTCTTGGGGATTTTTTCTTTCTTTTTGGGTCACCCTGCCTTGGTGGGAGATGGCCGACTTGTTAAAAAAAAAAACTCATAATTCCTTTTTCTATTCTAGACTGCATTCTTAAAGCCACCTCATACCTCTTTGATCTCCCCTTAATTTCTGTATGCTAACCCAACTTTCTCCCAATAGTTGCTTATATCATTTCCGAGTTTTCTCAGTTTATTCAGATTCACTGCTCTTACCCACTGATGCCATTCTTTTTGTACTTGTACCCCACTCCTTTTCTGTACATAACAAACACATGTTGCTTCTCTATCCATTAACCTTTTATCTTACACATAATCTAACTGCTATCATTGCACTCTGTATCATATTTTGTATACTTATCCTCTTTTCTTCAAAATAAGCATTATCTATTACCAAACCCCTTTCAATACACAACTGAATTAAAGGTCTTCCATAATCATTTATCCCTGGCACTACCTACTACACCATTTACAAGCCTCTCCCACCTCATCCTTTAGGTCACCTACATTTGACTCGAAACACTAACCATTCAATTATCCTTAAATTTTATTATATTTAGGGAACACACTAAATTCTTAGTGACAAAACAGTGCCTGGGAGCATTAGACAGAGTCAGGTTCAATCTAAGGAAGACAGGTGCAATGCTTTAGATGAATTACATTAATAAAGGGTAGGGGGTGCTAAACATATAGGGGTCACAGCGCCTGGGAAAATGAAAAGCATTAGTCAGGAAAAATTCAAGGAATTGGAGCCCAAGAACAATTCCTTAGATCAAGAGCCCCTCACTGGTATCAAGGAACCTCCCTTGAAGGGAGAGAGGGGTCACATCTTCAATTCATTTGATAACACACTTTTCCCTCTCCATCTCACCAGGAGTGATTTGTGGTTCTTTGTGAATTCATATTATGTATAATCATAGGGAAACACTCCAATGACTGGGAAATAGGAGGAAGTAGGGTTTGATCCAAGGAAGGTGATGATACTGTAGAACCCTTACCACCACCAGGAGAACTCTCATGAAGGGTGTAGACTATAGCTCTATTGTCAGTAAATTCAATCAGTGGGAAGCGGTAAACCCATAGGGTCCCATTCTTGTTGAAATTATATCTAAAAATCTTACTCTGCATTATGTCTATAGTTTTATCACATTGGGCGTTTCCCACCAAGGCAGGGTGACCCAAAAAGAAAGAGAAAACTTTCATCATTCAACACTTCACAATCACTCACACATAATCACAGTCTTTGCAGATCCACTCAGATATGACAGTTTAGATGTCCCTCCAAATTGCCAATATCCCAACCCCCTCTTTTACACCATAAAATAGATGATTTACTGTTATGCAATATTGTAATAATTGTATAAATAATATCAGCGCATTCACGAACGGACATTAGACCCACCAGCTGACGTGTATTGGACGTGTGATATGATTTGCTTACCCTAGAACATCGACAAAAATCAAACATTTCTGCTACTTTGAGCTCAATTTCAAGCCATTTTCAGTACTAAAACCAATCAAAATCATCTCTATTTCTGTAATATATCTAAAATTCTATCAAATGAGATCAAGAAACCGTGAATACAACTGTAAAAACACACGAAAATACACCGCTGAGTCGCTGTTTTAGTCCAATAATACAATTGCAGTTTTTTTCTCATAATACACTGCGTGCTGCAGGATTTGTTTTATATGGTGCCCACTTACCACACAGATGCATTCTCTCATATCTAGGCCCAAATTTACTGCTCACACATATACGAGTGAGCTGAGCTCATGGCGTAGAACTACGGCTTGGACCCAGGCTTCAAAGCCATAGAACTACGGGGCGGACCCTCAAAGAGTTAATAGTGAAGTGGTGAAGGTCACAAGCAGTGTCTGAAGTAGTAGCAGTTGTGATGAGTGAGAAGCATTAAACAAAATTTGGCAAAGAATATTTTAGAGTACTGTTGCAAAGATTTTAGGAAATAACCAGTAATACAGTAGACCCTCATATTACTCGGTAGTTACGTTCCTGAAAATGCCGTGTTAGATAAATCCATGTTATATAAATTGAAGAACTTACGGGGAAAATAGGATTATGTTCCAGGGACCCCCCCCAAAAGCCAAACATTTTTTAAACATACAGATCTTACAAAAAAAATGATAATGTTTTTATTGCTTAAGACTACAAATGCAACAGAAATATTACTTACCTTAAATTGTGGTTGTTGGTGTATGTCAGTGATTGTGAAGAGAGTGGAGATGCATGGTGTTGCCCAACTGGGCTGAGGTGGATGGTTGTAGGTTGTCAGCAGAAGTGGATGGTTGAAGTTCTGGTACTAAAATCGATGGTTGTATTGGAGTGTGAATAAATTCTAATGGATCTCTGGCTTCTTTTATCCTGCAGTACATTATACATTATTCCAGAAGCTTGGTACTGCCAGGTTGGAGTCAAGAGTCCACTGATGCAACAAGTTTTTTCATCACTTTTCTTGTGTACTTACACTTGAATGACTTAATAACTCCCTGATCCAGTGGTTGTATTAAAGATTTGTATTTGGAGGTAAAAATACAACTTTCACATATGGGGTCACATCCAGCAAAGCTTCTGGATGAGTACGAGAATTATAAAAAATGAAGAGAGCCTTGAATGCAAGGTTCTTGCTGTGCAGGTAAACCTTTACTTCAGAAATAAAGTGATGCTGAAACCAGGCAATAAATATTCCCTCTGTCATCCACGCTGACAAGTTTGATCTCAGAATTACTGGTAAGGTGTTTTTAGCTATGCCTTTCAAAGCACGAGCATTCTTATAGCAGTAAATAACCATGGGCTTACACTTGAAATCACCTGACACATTACCGCGAAGGAGCAAGGTCAAGTAATCATCTGGTGCAGCCTCACGGAGACAGTGGTCTCACCAACAGCCAGGCGGCGGCCTGAGCTAGGAAAATATCCCACTGGCGATCCTCAAAATTTTTTCCCTCCCGAAAACCAAATGGTGTTAAGTTAATTTTATGAAGTGTTGTATAAAATTGTGTCGCAATTTTTCAATAGTGTAATAACCAAAATGTGCCAAATAAATCCATGTAATATGAGGGTCTACTGTAACAGAAAAACTTCAGTTTTCCATATCCCTACCCACCAAGTTTAAAAATGGAAAGCACTAACCCATATCAGTCCCGGGTGTGGAAGTGTGAATTGCTCATTACTCTATAATTTGTTCATGATTGTAGCCAAAGTATAAACGTAAGTAACCATTCTACAGAATTCATTACCTTTGTAACTTGTGAGCTCATTACCTTTGTACCTAGTTCAGCTATCAAAACTTTGGGGGCCCAGTCCCTGGACCCATTACGTACCTCTGTAATCTGTAAATACCTTTGTAACTTGTCATGATTGTGACCAGACTTACCTGGAGTTCATTACCTTTGTAAATTGTGAGTTCATTACCTTTGTAAATTGTGAGTTCATTACCTTTGTAAATTGTGAGTTCATTACCTCTGTAACTTGCTCAGCTATCAAAACTTTGGAGTCCAGTCCCTGGACCAATTATGTACCTCTGTAATCTTTTGACTACCGCCCACAGGATGGGTATGGGGTGCATAATAAACATATTAAACTAACTAACTATCAGTCCCAAGATTAATGGTAACAGAGTGACCAGAGGGTGTGATGGTAACTAGAGGACCAAAAGGGTGCCCTCCCCTTACAATGCTTACTTGAACTTAGTCAAACACACCACCCTGCCACAGCTCTTGTTCAGACTGAGCACAATCTGATCTGCCTGACACACTTTCAATACACTACCTGTGGAAACCTGCTATTCACAAAGTGAAAGATGAACAGAATTCATGAATTACAAATCCATGCACCAAAATCATGAGTGGACTAGCACCCTGCCCAGAACCAAATTACGGAGGAGAGCATTTACTTGCCCTTCACAGGTCATGGCCACTCCTGGTCAAGAAGGCCCACTCAGCATGGCCACTGTATCAACGAAGACCATAATCTCGCTCGCCATGAAAAAGGAATTGGAGTCAGGGGATTAATCCTGTAAGTTGTAGGATGATTGCCATGAAAAGACTAAAATAATGAGAATGGTCTTAATATATAATGTAAAGACAACAGGATGTAAGAATGTTAACATTAAAGATTTCTTCCTTACATTTAATGTAAGACTGTTCAACTTAAAATTAGGTATGGTTTAATTATTGATAGCTTTTCCCGCAGTAGGATAAACATGCCAGATTAATTGTGATTTATCTTTTTTCAATACAATGTGTAGTTCACCTTGTGTGAAACCACGCTTTTATGTGAGTGGACATTCTCAAGTATTTGTTGTCCAGAATTATGTTGAGAATCTTAGTTCTTATTGTATTACACTTGGAATCTGTGTATTACCATATTCATAATTTATAAATTCTAATAAAAGGTGCAATTTTCAGTTCGTGTACTTCTGAAATCAATAAACACTGTAAATTTGAATTAATTTCTTAAGATTTAGACTTTTTAGCAGCCAATAATCTACATCTAATTATAAAACATGAAAAAGCATATGGGCACCAATTCTTACTTCCAGGAAGTAGTATTTCTCCCCACAGATAATTATCATGATTAAAGTCCAACTAGTGCATATTGTTAATTGCAATGAAGCAATATAATAAAAGGTAAAAACTTAATTCCCTTGCACCTTTTCTACCTTTCTTAGTTAAGAATGATATATGGTTGAGAGATGTTATCCAAAGACTAGAGATATTCAGACAGAAATGGACCTATGTACCTCTTGGAAATCTGCATCCCTAGAAATTGAATAGCTCATTAATTCTGAAAATTCACAAATGAGTACAGGCTCATATATTTCATTCATAACACTGCTTGGAAGGTTTCTTGAAACCTCAACAAAGCTTTCAGTTTTATTCTGAGATTGTAGAAATAAAAAGCATTGTTAAGACCAGAAATCCTATGTGTGGTTAGGAGTTAAAAAGCACTTTTATCACTAGAGTGCAAGGCTAAGCTAATTCCTTTATTGGCATTTTAACAATGCGACTGATCTGTCGTGCGTTTCCTAGGTGCTGCTTTGATTATATCGTCAACTCTCATAATCATCTCTGCTGCCTCAGATGCTGATAACAACACTTGTCTTTTAACTTGAAAGCTCTCGGTAATACCAACAGTATTCATGCAATCTACTATGGCCTCTTCCATATTAAGACCCATCGTTGATTTGCCTGCAGCATGAGCAGCCCGTAATTCAGATACTAGCTGTGCAGAATCATAACCTGCATTGTCAGCAATAATTGTGGGAATCATGAGCAGAGCCCGAGCAAAAGATTCCATGGCAAGAGCCTCCTTTCCAGGGATACGAACAGCAGCTTCCATTACTGCACGTGCCATGAGGGTCTCACTGCAACCTGTAGAAGAAAAAGGCAGATTGGAGCTAAAGAACTGCAACCGATTAAGCAAGGCTGATTTTTCTTAAGACTTTTATTTTGAAACTTAAAATAAAGAAATGTTTCACAGGTGGACAGTACCGTACTTCAATGGGAATTACTCACATGAAAAAAGTACACAAGGAATATAGTGACCCATTTAGTTATATAATCTTTATAGCATTGTTTTCATTGGTGAAGAAAGGAGGTAGATAAAAATACAAAAGCCAAAACCTATTTTCATTACTAGATGCTATACAAGTCAATCTAGAAATGAAAATAAAATCTACATAATTCTTAAAGCAGGTGGTAGGTTGGTAGACAGGAACCACCCAGGAAGGTATTACCGTCCTGCCAAGAGTGTGAAATGGAATACTGTAATTGTTTTACTCTATGGTAGGATTGCTGGTGTCTTTTCTGTCTCATAAACATGCAAAATTACAGGAATATCTTACTACTTCTACTTACACTTGGGTCACACTACACATGCATATACACACACCAATCTGAATTTTCTTCTGTTTTCTTAACAATTCATTATTTACTTTCATTCATCTCCATGGGGAAGTGGAAAAGAATCCTTCCTCCATAAGCCATGTGAGTCCTAAGAGGCAACTACAATGCTGGGAGTAAGGGGTTAGTAACTTCTACATAAATTACCAAGTTAAATAAAAAAAAACTTTTGTTTTTTTTAGGTCACCCTGCCTCGGAGGGATATAGCCGGTTCGTTGGAGAGAGAAAAATACTCATCGCATCTAGTAAGAATATCATATCCAGCAAAATGTATTATGATCTCCAGTATATCACATTTCTCTTTATGATCATACACATGCCACTATTTTAGCAGCACATACTGATATTGCTATAATGTAGTAGTGATATGTCACAGTAGGACCTCACTGAACTTATGACTGGACAGGATCTTCAAGGGGCATATTATGTAAAAGCTATTACTAACCTTTCATACCCACTGTTTAATTTGGAAAGTCAAATTGCAGTAATGACTGCATTCTAGTGTATCTGATGTCTCTTGAGGGAAAACCAAAATATACAACTTGCTGATGAATCATACTAAAGTACTTGTCAAAAAATATCATGCAATATTTGCTACAAACACAGCTTTACCTTGGTCCAAGCTGCACACATGGATATGTAATGTATACATTGTACTTTATGCCTACATTACATACAAGCTGACATTCAACAAGTGCAGTAAAATTTGTGCATGACATTTAGTGATACAGCAAGCTCATCTATAATAATTCATTATTCTGGCTCTAGCTTCTCATTTTTTAATTTGTACCTCGGGAATGAACATCAAATTCAGTGATCTCTATCTGGATCTTTCTGGAGTACAGTGGAGTACTAGTATACTTAGTATTTGGTTTCTATGCATTACAGACCAAAAGGGCTACAGCCAATATAAAAGTAATGTAGTACAGCATCCATTGCTTTGTTTTCATTAACAATGCACCATTATTTCATAGCACATTTATCTCCCAACCTTACAGTCACCAAGATTGCACTTTATTATATCTGTAAAATGCCCCTAACCCATATTGTCAAAAAGCACTACAAGGCTGAGTAGAGCTACATGCAAAGGAAAGTAGTGTGATAAAAGACCTAATGAGTTAATAATGAAAGCCAAAGTTGGCATTAGTCATTTTCTGTAATAGAAACAAAAAAAAAATCTTAGTGTCTGCATTAAAGGAAGAGCTTTCTGAAAGGAGAACAGTCAAAGTGAATCCCCCCCCCCCAAGTGTTGAAACAGGCTGAAAATGAACTCTATGTTCTCCCTGATATATGGTAAAATCAATTAAAAGGAGTTTGACCATCACTGGGACCTGATAAGATTTATGTAATATCTATGTAATTCATGTATGGCCAATATGCATTTGTATTAGAACTCTAAGGCTGAAGAGTTCTGACCTGCAAATGCATCAATTATGACAAAAAAAAAAAAAAAATCATATTGAAATAGAACCCCTTAAGAAGGGTTCTCTGATGCCAAGGAAACAGACTTGACCTCCCCATCTCGAACTTGATTGCCTTCTATTTTCCCAGATGCTATATGACCCCTATGGGTTTAGTGCTCACTATGTCAATTGAAAATAAAATTTAGTAGGGCTAAATGATTAACCCAATAGTAACAATGAGCATACAAATTTGCTCAAATAAAAAAATATGTAATTTGTACTGGAGTGCATTTCAAAGTGTTTGATAGTGTGCTTCACACATCTCTCACACCATCTGTTTAATGTCATCACGTCCTCCTCTAGCTTTTCCTGTAAAGCTCACATCTTTGATTTTGCACACTGTATTAAGATGGCACAGTAACACACTAATTCACAATGCAAATATAGTAGCAGTACTATTGCCTTAAGTCACTGTAAAAAAAAATGTGGTTGGACAAAAGTGCATTTGTTACAGAACTTTGAGGTAGATGAAAGAGCAAAATCCCAAAACAATAAGTGATCACTAAATCTTCAGTGGGTAAAACAGGTGAAAAAATAATGGATATAAGTATAGTGCTCTTACAGCAATAGTATTAAGTAGTGACTCTGGCCAAAACTGACAAGTAGATATAAAGATAAGCAATGTGGAGCAAGTCTTTATTTTAGAAATTTCACTGAGCAGCCTAAAACCTTTACACCTTGCAATCACCTAAAAGTTTCAGGAATAATTAATGACCAAATCACCTTTTACAAGTTGTACAAAGATAAGAGGAGTCATATAGAGGTTTTTTTTTTTTTTGGCTCTACCTTTCTTAACAACTTTAATTCAGTGAACAAGGTAGATGGTTCTACTTTTCCTCCTACCCAGGATGTTCTATTTTATCACTATAAACTACCACCTCATTCAACTATTAACATAGTTTCTTGTTAAATGTAATTTGTAAAAATAATAATAATAATTATTATTATTAACCCTTTGAGGGTTCAGACCTCGGATCTAAAACTTGTTCACAGGGTCCAAGAATTTTAACATTTTTGTCATGATACCATCAGTTCCAGCTGCTTTACTCCCTTAATTCTACATAATGCCTCATGCACCTTTCCCCACACTCTCATCCTGCTCTTCTTCACTCCTAAATGATGTTATACCTCCCTGGCCAGTACATGAAATTACGGCCTCCCTTTCTTCAACAGCATTTAAAAGTTCCTGAAAATATTCCTGCCATCTTCCCAATACCTCTAGGTCCCCATCTACTAACTCCCCTACTCTGTTTTAAACTGACAAATTCATTTGTTCCCTAGGCTTTCTTAACGTGTTTATCTCACTCCAAAATTTTTTCTTATTCTCAGCAAAATTTGTTGAGAGTGCCTCACCCACTCTATCATTTGCTCTCCTTCACTCTCACACCACTCTCTTCACCTTTCTTTTTACTCTCCACATACTGTACCCTTCTTTTATCACTTCTGCTTTCTGAAAGAGTTAAAGTGAAGACAAAGTGGCTCTGGTGGCCTGGTGGAGGCTCTGGTGGCCTGGTGGTTAACGCTCTCGCTTCACACGGTGAGGGCCTGGGTTCGATTCCCAGCCAGAGTAGAAACATTGGACGTGTTTCTTTCCACCTGTTGTCTATGTTCCCCATCAGTAAAATGGGTACCTGGGTGTAAGTCGACTGGTGTGGGTCGCATCCTGGGACACCGACCTAAGGAGGCCTGGTCACAGACCGGGCCGCGGGGGCGTTGACCCCCGGAACTCTCTCCAGATAAACTCCAGATAAAGGAACAAGAAGAATTTAACCCTTTAACTGTCCAAATGTAGATCAACGTTCTTACAGCTAGCGCTCCAAACGTAAATCTACGTTTTATTTTTCCTGCCTCCAAATTTGGCATGATTAGCCTAAGATGCCTGGTCAGCATAGAATGGGTATTAACCCTCGGTGTGTGCTGTATTAAAAAAATCTGGGACCACTTAGTACCTTGTGGGAGCACCAGTTCAATTGAGCACCAGCTAGAGCAAACAGCGCAGCAAACACCAAGGATTCACTGACGTCATGTCGTATTAACACTCCCCTTTTAAGAGGAAAGTGTCAAATTGCCAGAATGTCCTGTAACTTATGCCCTAAGTAAAAAGAAGCAATTCTGGAACTGCAATTTCAGCAGGCTGGCCGGCTGATTGGCTGTCTCTACCTCCGTCTGTCTGTCTGTATCTATCTCTGTCTCTATCTCACAGGAACACATATGTAAATACAATTATACATAGTGTAAATTACCTAGGAAACTCAAAAAAATCAAGACAAAGTGCCATTCTGGAACTGTAATTTCGGCAGGCTGCCTGGCCAGCTGGCGGCTGGCTGGCCAGCAGGCTGATTGGCTGTCTCTAACTCCGTCTGTGTATCTGTATCTGTCTCTATCTCACAGGAACACATACGTAAATACAATTATACATAGTGTAAATTACCTAGGATAACCCAAAAAATCCAGACAAAGTGCTATACTGTGCTTGTAGATAGTGATATGTGTAATACCAGTTGGTTCATGAGCAACTCTCTGAGACAGACACATGTTTATGTGTAATGAAAACAAATAAAGTGAAGGCTTATCAAATGTCACCACTGTAATTAGCGGAGAGATAAGGTAAGACGAGCTCATCAAATGTCACCACTGTAAATAGCGGAGAGATAAGATAAGACGAGCTCATCAAATGTCACCACTGTAATTAGCGGAGATAAGATACGACGAGCTCATCAAATGTCACCACTGTCATTAGTAGGGTGATAAGATGACCTCATGATTGTCAGCAGTGGAGTGAAGAGATAAGGTAAGTGACACACTCCTATATCAAGCTTCAAGGGAACTTATTATTATTTATTATTACTATTATTATTATTATTATATACTCCCGTGTATCCAAAACATTGCTGGGACCTATAAATAATAGGTATATATTTCTAGACAATAGTATGTGACTAAGGTAGGTGAAAATGTTCACCTGTCACTGTGTTTATGACTATTTGAGCACTATTTCAGTACCAAATATTAGTGTCAGAACAAAGATTAACTATGAAATCACAAGAACTACTACAAATTGTCATTATCAGAACATAAAAATTATACAAATAAAAAAAAAAAGAAAAACAAAAGAGAAAAAAAAAGGTACATCGGCAACACATCTGCAAGCAGCAGCGCTTTATGTTGCCATCAGGTGAGTGACAAGTGCCAACTTTGTGGCCTTTTATCTCTAAGTACTGACCCTAGAATTTTTTTTTTTTTACGTTATGTAAAACAATGTCCTATAGATTTAAAAAAAAAAAAAAAATTTCAAAATATTCGGAGAGCTGAGCAAGAGAACGTAGATCTACATTTGGACAGTTAAGAGGGTAGGTGATGTGTAGACCTACTGAGCAATACTTAAAGATACAGTACTTTTTGTCACATTTATGGATTTAGAAAAGGAATATGATAAGGTTGCAATGTGACAAATGATACCAATATATGGAACAGGTACCAGGTTACTAAAAGCAGTAAAGTTTTTATGATGACAGTGAGACAAAAGTAAAGGTATACAGGAGAGATAGGGAAATTATTTTCTAGTTAATATAGACCTTAGTGAGGGATGTGTGATGTCACCATATTTCTAACATATTGTAAGGAGGGGTTGCTAGATGGTTTGGTCATTTAGAGAGGGTGGAGCAAAATAGGATAACTTAAGGGGTGTATAAGTCTGTAGTGAAGAAGAGGCTGGGTAGGGGTCATCCTAGGAAAGGATGGAGGGAGGGGTTTTATATGTAAGGGGCTTAGACATTCAACAGGCATGGGTGAGCATGTTAGATAGGGATGAGTGGAAGTAGATGGTTCTTGGGACCTGACAAGTTGTTGGAGTGTAAGCAAGATAACATTTGATGAAAAGGATTCAGGAAAACTGGTTAGCCACACACAGGTCCTGGAGGTGGGAAGTAGCACCTGCATGGGGATATTTGCTGTTTGAAGGGACAGCTGAACTGTCATATTTATGTACCTTTGGAAAGACAGTGATAATGTGAATAATGGTGAAAGTATTTGTTTTTCAGGTCACCCAACCTCGGTGGGTAAAGTAAATGCTAGGGTTCTGGGAAGAGGTGTGGGATTCAAAGATAATGAATTTGATATAAAGTGGGAATTGTCAGTTACTCTTTGCCAAAGACAGAGTTCTTTTGAAAGATTCTAGGAAGTAGAAAATGTTGGTTGATGAATTTGGAAGGCTATATATAAAAAAAAAAAAAGGAAATTAAAAGTGAACATAGGAAAATGCAGGGTGATGAGTAACAGAAGATCCATTTAATGAAAGACTGGATAACAAATTGCAGGGAGGGAGAATGGAGGAGGCAAATGTATTGAGATATCTGTGAGTGCACTTGTCGGCAGACTGGTCTAAAAATGATGAGGTGACCCATAGAACAGTCTAGGCAAGGTGAGTGATGAACTGAGGATTTAGTGGAAACAAAGAACTTTTTCCATGTAGAAAAAAAAAAATTAAATGTATCTAAGGTGAAAACAATGGAGTTTAAATGCTGCAGTGAGGAGGAGGCTGGATGCAGTAGAGATGTCATGTTTGGGGGTAAGAAAGGTCATCACTTTTTTTTCAACAAAAATAAAAAATTTTGGTTAAAAAGTATAAATTTAGATGAAATATTAAATACAAAAATTAGGAGAATTTGAATTTTATTAAGCAACTCTGGCATAAAATATTAGGTACCAAAATATTATTAAATGTATGCTATGCAAGGGGCCATGAAAATCTAATTTACAGTATCACTCACAAAATTTTAAATAATTTGCACCTTACATACATATACATAATGATTTTATTATTTCTTACCTCCTCCATAAATAGTGCGAGTTTCCTTAACAGTTTGTGTAAGGACACACAAGGCATCGTGCAGAGAGCGTTCTGCTTCTTCTAGAATTTGATTTGTAGCCCCACGCAACACAATAGTACAGGCCTCACCCATAGCAACGCCACTCAAGCGAATCATGCGATCTTCACCAATAATGCACTGAAATGAAATAATGAATAACAATAGGCAGTTAGAAAAAAACTGAAATAAAGAATATGCTCTAGTTATGAATCATTCAGAAATGCTCTAAAGGAGGTTTTTTTGTTCTAGATACATGACTATTACCCTGCTGTAATATCTTTGATTAGAAAAAGAAAAATCTAAAACCCTATTTTTCCAAATAAATATAGTGGAACCTCGGTTTTCGTTTTTAATTTGTTCCAGGGTCTGCGAAACCAAATCTGAACTAAAGCACAGTGTCCAAAAAATTTAAAAAAAAAAAATTGTTATTTTTTTTATGAAAACGTAGAAATTTGTGAAGGTAATAAAAACAAAAATTTAAAATTCTTTTGGAAAATTGGCGAAATTAGCCTTGCAATCTTGAAATATGTATGCCGATATTTCGAATGTCGAGCCGACCCCTGCTGCCTTTTACCAGCTAGCATTATCACAATCTTACGAAATCGCATTGCTACTTTCCTTTTACTAAATTCTTTGACTACACAAGAAATCTCCAGTAACTGTTACACCAACAAAAAAAATTTAAAGTGTTCGAAGGAATTGTTTTTGCCAATTTCACACATCAGTTCAAAGAAATTGTAATTTCAAATTGGTCCAGAATAAACATAGGCATTGACCCGCTTCAACCGGTATATCATTTCCTGTTTTTTTTTTCATTTAGGTGAATGTTTTAGAGGCTTTACAAATAATATTCCATTTTGATTTTTTAAAATTTTTCTTGAATTTTTATTTCTCACCTTTTACAAAGGGTAGCAAGATTTCTTTTATGCATACTGTAATAATAAAATATAAAATACAATCATCATAAAATTTGTGATGAAAGTATGTTTAAAAAACCACCAGCTGACGTGCATGTTGAGACGTGTGAGGTCGTGTTACCGTTTGAATATTGGCAAAAAGTTTGAACAATTGCCGCTATTTTGACAAAGTCGTCGAACATTCCATGGGTCAAAACAACCATGATAATAAAACATCACTTTTTTTCTGTAATATATTCATTTACCAAAAGAGTGACAAAGAATAAATACAATGAAGCATATTTCATGAAAAATAAGCTGTTGTAAAGAATGCTGTTTTAATCGAAAATCATGATTTACGGATATTTTATTCTCATTATACACAGAGTGCTGCAGGATCTGTTTTATGTGGTGCACACATACCACATAGATGTATTCTCTCATATCTAGGCCCAAATGTACTACTCACAGTTTATCAGAGTGAGCTGAGCTCATGGCGTAGATCTACGGTTTGGACCCTGAACGTAAAGCCGTAGATCTACGGGACGGACCCTGAAAGGGTTAATTTGTTCCAGAGTGTCTGACGAAAACCAAATTCCATGAAAACTAAAGCAATATTTCCCATAAGAAATGTTAATCCAACAAAAAATACATTTTATAGAGAATAGCCATAATTTTACATACAGAAAACAATAAAAAATAAGTAGAAAGCACTAATTTTAATAGATAAATGAAAATTTAAATCAGTTTACCTCTATTGAAGATTCCTGTTTGTCCGAAATTGCAGCCTTGCCATACCTTAACATACTGTGTATGCCAGATCACTTCTTGAAGTTGTCGAGCCAGCCTCTGCTGGCCTTAAATTCACTAACAGCAGCACTCGTTCCAGGCACATTCTTTACGAGATCCGCATGCAACTGCCTTGCCTTTTCACAAATTCTCGCCTCCACAACACTATCTCCGGCTAACTGTTTTTCATTCATCCACACCAAAAACAACTTCTCAACATCTTCGATTATTTGCGATCTCCGTTTCGTTAGCACACTTACCCCTTTCACAACATCAGATTCCTTGACTCAAGAAATCGTAATGACACGATTGCAAACAAACCATACCCCCGGCCGGGATTGAACCCGCGGGTTCAATCCCGGCCGGGGGTATGATCAGATTCCTTGATTTCTTTTTTCTTTGCCAGGATGGAACTGATTGTTGATGAGGACTTCCCATACATCCTGGCGAGATCAACCATACATATGCCATTTTCGTACTTTTCTACAAGTTCTTTCTTGAATTTTATCATGTTTCTCACCTTTTTTATCAAAGGGCTGGCACTCGGAACTTTCTTTGGCCACGTGGTGGCTTATTTAGCAGTCACACTCAATAAACAAGCACAAAAAACAATCGATTATTATGAAATGCTTCGTATGACTGAGCAAAGTAATGTTCACTCAACAAGAAACAACGCCAGACTGACTCAGAATGCATGTGTGAGATGCTCTGTGTGGGCGCAGGTGCGTGGACACGTTTGGTATGGTGGACGAAAACCAAGGTGATGAACGAAAACTGGGACAATATTTTGACAAAAAGTCGTCGAAAACCATGGGATACAAAAACCAAGGTTCCACTGTATTAATAAAAGCATGCACTTTTTTTTACTACAGTAACATAAAATTCATATTACCACAGAAAGGATGTGGTACAAAGTACGTAAATACAGTGGAGCCCTGGTTTTCGCATGCCCCAGTTATCGGACGATTTGGTTATAGAACCGTTTCTTGTGTGAAATTTTGCTCCGGATATCGAATCTTCATCCGAAAATTGCACATATCAGAGCGTTCACCCGCCCGGGACATGCTTTTAGTCTGGCTGTCACTGGTCGGGGTGGCATTCATCCGAAACATTTCGCAAATTTTTGTGCAAATTTACCGATTGCATGCGAAATAACCACCATGGGCCTAAAAAAAGTTCCCAGTGCCCGTGGTAAGGGTGAGAACAGAGGGGAAAAGTGCCTTCTTCATGATTCTCTCGATATGTATGTACTAAAAAGCAGGGTTTTAAAAACTATAGCGCCAGCCAGCCCGCATTGTGCAGCAAGAAGTTAAGGTTTAAAGGGTTAAAAAAGATGACACAAAATTAAATTCTCCATTTGGGGTTTTTAGGTATATAGGGCCACTGAGGGAAAACCGCCGCCGCCACCCCACCCTTACTATACAGTTTTCTCTGGGCCCTTTATAAACCCCAAAACCACCCCAGCATATTTGATCAAATTTTGATAAGATTAATAAAACCGCCCGAGTTGAATTTGTGTCATATTGAAAAGGGTATTTTGTCCCTGCCTTCAAACAAACTCTCGGCTCTGCCCCCCCTAGCCCCCATACATGTAATAATGCATTTTATTCATTCTAGGTGTATATCAGGTTTTTATGTTATTTTATTGTTTATTAGTATTTTACAATTGTGATAGATAAAAAAGCTTAAGGTTACGGGAAAATGTGTAGTTGTTGAACTATGGTGAAAGAGGTTTGGTAATAAGTAATACATTTTTTGAAAAGAGGATAAATAAGTTTACACGATATGATAGCTTGTAATGAAAGTAGTTTGTTAGATTATGTATTGGTGAATAAAAGGTTGATGGATAGGCTTCAGGATATACATGTTTATAGAGGGGCAACGGATATATCAGATCATTATCTAGTTGTAGCTACAGTTAGAGTAAGAGGTAGATGGTACAAAAGGAAAATGGCAACAGTAAGTGAGAGGTGAAAGTTTATAAACTAAGGGAGGAGGGAGCTAGGGTGAGATATAAGCAACTACTGGCAGAAAGGTGGGCTAGTGCAAGTATGAGTAGTGGGGGGACTGAAGAGGGATGGGGTAATTATAAAAATGCAGTATTAGAATGTGGGGCAGAAGTTTGTGGCTATAGAAGGGTGGGTGCAAGAGGAAAGAGTGATTGGTGGAATGATGAGGTAAGGGTGCAATAAAAGAGAAAAAGGTAGCTTATGAGAGGTTTTATAAAGCAAAAGTGATATAAGAAGGGCAGAGTATATAGAGAGTAAAAGAAAGGTGAAGAGAGTGGTGAAAGAGTGCAAAAGGAGAGCAAACAATAGAGTGAGAGAGACACTGTCAAGAAATTTTGCTGAGAAGAAGAAATTTTTTTTGAGTGAGATAAACAAGTTAAGAAAGCCTAGTGAACAAATGGATTTGTCAGTTAAAAGCAGTAGGAGAATTAGTAGATGGGAAGCTGGGGGTATTGGGTAGATGGCAGGAATATTTTGAGGAACTTATAAATGTTAATGAAGAAAGGGAGGCAGTAATTTCATGAACTGGCCAGGGAGGTAAAACAAAGGTGGTGGTGGAACAAAGTAAATGACTTGAAGAGCGTATAAATCTGTAGGAGAAGGAAGGCGGGGTATGGCTCATCCCCGAAAAGGTTGGGAGGGGGTAAAGGAGGTTCTGTAGACGAGGGGCTTCAACATCCAGCAAGCATGTGTGAGCATGTTGGATAGGAGTAAATGCAGATGTATGGTTTTTGGGACCAGATGAGTTGTTGGAGTTTGAAGAGATTATTATTTTGTGAAGGGATTCAGGGAAACCAGTTAGCCAGACTCGAGTCCTGGAAATGGGAAATACAATGCCTGTACTTTAACCCTTTGAGGGTTTTCGTCGTACTAGTACGTTTTACGCGTAGGGGTTTTTGACGTACTAGTACGCATAAATTCTAGCGGCCTCAAATCTAGTGGGAGAAAGCTGGTAGGCCTTCATATGAAAGAATGGGTCTATGTGGTCAGTGTGCACAGTCTAAAAAAAATCCTGCAGCACACAGTGCATAATGAGAAAAAAAAAACTTTGACCATTTTTTTGGAATAAATCAGCGACTTTGCAGTGTATTTTCGTATGGTATTTATTGTTGTATTCTAGTTTTCTTGGTCTCATTTTATAGAATGGAAGACATATTACAGAAATTGAGATGATTTTGGCTGGTTTTACAAAGAAAGGTGCCTTGAAATTGAGCTCAAAGTAGCAGAAATGTTCGATTTTTACCAAACTTCAAAAGTAAACAAATCGTGCCAAGCGTGCAATACACGTCAACTGGTGAGTCTAATATTCTTTCACAAGTGCACCAATAATATTTATACCATTTTTTACACTAATGCAGTAGTCTGCATAACAGTAAATCTTATATTTTTTGTGAGAATAAAAATTCAAAATGGAAAGCAAAAGAATATAAGAGGGGCCTTGAGACGTGACTAATGACTAGAGGAAATGTCATTTTAGTGCTAGGAATGTCTTTCTTGTTTATTCTGGACCCTATTCGGAAATTGGCATCTTTTGAAATTTGTGTGAAATTGGCAAAATTGCTAAATTCTGACCACTGTACTGGATAGTTGAATTTCATAAATGGGTGGTTTCTTGCACCCATTCGATAGAAAAAAATGGAGTTCTAGCAAAATATTCATGTTTTTTGTCGACTAGTACAGCGAAATTGGCCGAAAATGGGGCTCAAAGTGGGCAAAATCGCCGATGCGTAAACATCGCCGAGACCGCTAACTTTGCGAGAGCATAATTTCGTAAGTTTTCTATCAAATTTCAAACTTTTGGTGTCTTTATGATCGGGAAAAGATTCTCTATCTTTTCATAAGAGAAAATAATTTTTTTTTTTTTTAAATTTGGCCAACCCTGAGAACGAGTTTCGGAGAGGGCCCGTCGACCCTCAAAGGGTTAAAGGAGGGATTTGAGACATTGGCAGTTTGGAGAGATGTCTGAGTGCCTCTACAAAGACAGTGATTGTGTGTGAGTGATGGTGAAAGTGTTGAATGATGAATGTTTTTCTTTCTTTCTTTTTGAGTCACCCTGCCTCAGTGGAAAACAGCCAATGTGTTAAAAGAAATTAAGTTCAAATCTCCATGAGGAAGTGGAACAGAATTATTCCTCCATAAGGTAAGCCATGCATGTTGTAAGAGGCGACTAAAATGGTAGTAATCCCGTCTCCTGTATAAATCTCTCAAACTCTCTCTCTCACACACACACACACTAAAAAAAAAAAAAAAAAAAAAAAAAAAAAAAAAAAAAAAAAAAAAAAAAAAAAAAAAAAAAAAGAGAGAGAGGAGGAGGAGGAGGCAGAAGAGGAAGAGGAGGAGGAGCTGCTGCTGCTGCTTAAACTAAACAAAGCAAACTCGATAAAAAGAGGTTTTCACTGGACTAACCTCTTCTATTAGATCACAATGGCCAAGTTTAACTAACTCTGGGTTATCAAATGTGGACACAATTTCTCCACCAGTGACTAGTGCCAGGCGTTCAATACCATCAAAGTCTGCGTGTTCAATAGCCATGATGCCTGCATCAGCAAATAACTGTTCAGGGTAATTGTAGATCAGCTGTCTGAAAGGTAAAGAATTTAATTAATTTTTCTTTTCAACATGTTAGGTCTACACTAAATCAGGGTGACCCCCTCCTCCACTCAAAATATGCATTCACTATCATTCATTCAACAGCTTCTTGCAAGAAATCTGCAGACCTGACAATTCAAATGACCCTCTGAAATGCAACATCCCCCCCCCTTTTTCTTCAGTGCTAGCACTGTACTTCCCACTTACTCTGCTCTAACATACTCGCACAAACCTGCTGAATGCTGAATCTACTACTCAAACTCCCTTTACTCTCTCCCTCTACCCTTTCCTGGAATATCCCCTACCTGTCCTTCCTTCCACAATAGATTTATACATTTTCGGTCATTGTATTCTGCTTCATCCTCTCTAAATGCCCAAACCACCTTAACAACCCTTTCTCCATCCTCTGGAGTGTACAAGAACTATCTCAATTTATAACTCCAAATTCTGTACATAATATTCACAAATACATTGCTCTCAAATGTAACATCCCCACTGACACTAAAACGTGTTGGAATCACTAAACTCTGATACATTTCTTCTTTAGTCTCTATTCATAAATTGTTTTCCCTCTTCTATTCTATGGCTAACTTCGTCTATCATAGACCCATTTGCCATGTCTACTGTCAAATCTAATAAGGCCCCAACTTATTGTGTTCCAACCTAAGGTTATCTATCTTACAAACATGGCCCAGAAGACAATGCTTAGAAAATCAGTTTTATGAATGCTGATCTCCAGTTACAAACATGTGTGACAAATACTCATACTTTTCTCTATCATTTTCTAAAGGATAAATACTTCAGGACTGCAAATGACAAATGACTTGTGCACAAGTTAAAACACCAGGAACACATCTTGTTTAGAAGTTGGGGATCTACTATATATCTAAAATACATTCATTTCCTCCATAATCCCTCCCTCCTATCTCATCTCTAATTGTCTTGAGATTTTTGTCAGTCTCACCACCATGTTCTTTTCTTGAAAGCTCACTTTTAATTTCTTTATTTTAAAAACATGTTCTCCCAGTAAATTTTCAGAATCTTCCTAAAGAAGTTTGTCATTAGCAAAGACCAACTGTGATAACTCTATGTATTAATTCATCATCTTTTAATCCCACTTCTTTCCTCAACATGCTAGCATTGACTCCTATCACAACCACCCTATCAATAAATATGTTACAACAATGGGGACATCAAGCATTCCTGTTTAAGGCCTGTCTCACTCTGTTAAGTCTTTCCTGCTTTTAGTAACCTATTACCTACTCCATATAGCTCCTCTATCCACCCCTATCATATTCTTATTCTAGATTTATAAATGAAACAAGCATTTCCATTCCTTTAACTTAGTATTATTCACTTGTATGCTTTAATGTAAACACTCACGTCTATACATTCCCCAACCTTTCCTAAATTCTCCTTGTTCGTCTGATAAACTCCCCATGGTTCAAATCCTAAAGAAAAAGGGAAGTTATGGAGTTGGCTATCTGGTATTCAGTGGTGACTATCTGTAGCAACACAAGATTACAAGTACAGTACTAAGTGAACTATTATCCACTTTGAGGGTTTGTCCAGATCAATACCCTGCTATTTAACAAAATAATCTAAAGTAAAATGGATATGGATTTTTGCCTATTCAATATACCCTCACTGAAAGTTGAGTGAATAGGAAAGTGACCACAATGGTTCAGTATGCACACAGGTTTTGTAACAGAATATTATATTCATGGAAAACCAAAGCCCAAAAGCCTTAGCTTTTGATCCAAGGAGGAAAAGGACATGTCCAATTCCCTAGATCAAGAGTCCTTTACCAGCAACAAGGAACCTCCCATGAGGAGTGTATTATTATTACAATGAAAGTTGAGTGCTAAACCCACAACCATGAGGGGTGAAGCAATGTTAGAGATGAACTAAGCATAATGTTTTACATGTTTCACATCATGTAAAAAATAATTTCCTTATTCCGTGGACCAAGAACTCTAAACACTTTTCAAACAAACATTACCATTCACTCACTCTACACTGAAACACACTATAATGATGACTTCTTGGTAATTTTCACTTACCTATTAATAAAGACATTAATGTCATGTTTCAGTATCTTCTGAACTTTTGATTTCATCTTCTCCTTCTCTGCCAATTCAAGTTCAGCAACCTATACATGAAAAAAAGAAGAAAAACTTCAGGCACACAACCTAATTTACAAATGATACAACAGCAAGTTTTAATTTTATTCTTTATAAACTATCATAAATTCATATGGGTCATTTATCTGACAGATTCCAATTACTTTTAATTCAAACTTCCAATTTAACTTAAAAGATAATAAAAGTGCACTGTGAAGAACTTTCACACCTTAGCTGTAGACTCTACAGAAATCTTTGAGCCAAAAACTTTTATTTTGTCCGTGTCCATGGGAGTGTTGGCAATCAGAAGCTTGGCATTTTCAATACGTTTGGGCTGGTTGACACCTATCTTCTTCTCCAGGATGAATCCTAAAAAAATTAACCAATTAATACTCTCATAGCTTTTGATGGTCAAACTAATATTTTCTTCTTTCAACAAACCGGTTGTATCCCACAGTTTCTCTTTTTAAATTTAGTAATTTATACAGGAGAAGGGGTTACTAGCCCCTTGCTCCCGGCATTTCAGTCGCCTCTTACAATATGCATGGCTTACGGAGGAAGAATTCTGTTCCACTTCCCCATGGAGATAAGAGGAAATAAACAAGAATAAGAACTAGAAAGAAAATAGAAGAAAACCCAGAGGGGTGTGCATATATATATGCTTGTACATGTATGTGTAGTGTGACCTAAGTGTAAGTAGAAGTAGCAAGACGTACCTGAAATCTTGCATGTTCATGAGACAGAAAAAAGGACACCAGCAATCCTACCATCATATATAACAATTACAGGCTTTCGTTTTACACTCACTTGACAGGACGGTAGTACCTCCCTGGGCGGTTACTGTCTACCAACCTACTATGTAAAGGACATAAGAAAAAGAACAAAACTTCCCTAAAACTTGGTGTGCAACACAATAGCTATGACTAAGATTTAATGCAAAAGGAGCTGCTTCATGCATAACTTACAACATGTATTTTATTTTTTAAGACACCAGCTATCCCCCACCAAGGTAGGGTAACCGGAAAAAGAGGAAACACTTTCACCATCACTCGTTTGATCACGGACTTGCCAGAAGTGAACTGACAGCACAGTTCAGATGACCCTCCAATGAATATTCCTGCCCCTCCTTCAGGGTGTAGACCCTGTACTTCCACTTCCAGAACTCAAGTCTAGCAAACCAGTTTCCCTTCATAAATGTTATCTTGCTTATACTCAAACAGCACACTGTCATAATCACTTGCCTCTTGTAATAAACGTGCATTGTTAGTAAAACAGCGGTTTATTTACAGGGTTTTACAGCTCTTATAATTTGCAGTAACAGAAAAGGGGCTAGTTGAAGACTATGAAATAGTCTAAACAATGAAAAAATACATCAGATTGTAAGGAGAGCAAAGAGGAATTGAATATATTTAGATATATAGTTGGAAATGCATATGTCAGCAGATAGATGTTCAAAAGATAAAGAAAGACCTTTACATATCAGACTGGAAAACAAAAGTAGATAGAATGCTGAGGTGTGCGGAAAGCAAGTTCATTAATAAATGCAAAAAAGCAGAATATGAGAGAATAGTTGTGCAAACATTTTTGTATGGGTGTGAAGCATAGTCTCTGAACATGGCTGGAAGTAGTGAATACATCATGTTTGAGAGCAACATGTAGTACTGTTCTTATGTAAAGTAGTAGAAAAAAAAACCATACCCCGGCCGGGATTGAACCCGCGGTCAGAGAGTCTCAAAACTCCAGACCGTCGCGTTAGCCGCTAGACCAGCTAGCCACAATAAGATTCATCCAACTAGGTATATTTCTACACCATAGGAAGGTTAGCACAGGCACCACTGTGACCACAAATGCAAGTTTTTACAGACTAATCTCCAGCTAGCGTGGCCGTGACGAACTCATGTTGACGGCAGTGAGGGGACTTGAGCTAGTTCGTCACGGCCACGCTAGCTGGAGATTCGTCTGTAAAAACTTGCATTTGTGGTCACAGTGGTGCCTATGCTAACCTTCCTATGGTGTAGAAATATACCTAGTTGGACGAATCTTATTGTGGCTAGCTGGTCTAGTGGCTAATGCGACGGTCTGGAGTTTTGAGACTCTATGACCGAGGGTTCAATCCTGGCCAGGGTATGGTTTGTTTGCAATCGTGTCATTACGATTTCGTGAGTCACGTTAAAGTAGTAGTATGAAATATGTAATTCAGACTGAAAGATGAACCAAGACAGATGGATCAAGAGTATGTATAAATTGGGTTTTCAAACTGGAAAAAGGGTTTAATGAGGGTTTGAATGGTAAGGTCCTAAGCATTCAGTTGACATGTGTGAGAATGAGAGATACGTATTCATTTGGAAAAGGGAGGAGAGAGATTTGACAGGCCGTTAGACTGTGAGCAAGGTAACATTTTAATCTATGAAGGGACTGAGGTTCTGGTTAATTATCCTTTAGAGTGGCTGGACTCTGAGAGATAAGTATGTGAAGATGCTGCAGGTCCTTGGATAATCATTTAAAGTATGTTCATGCATCTTCTGGAAAAACAAGGTCTTTAAAAAAAAAAAAAAAAAAAAAAAAAAAAAAGAGAAATAGCACCAATGATTCTATTCAAACCAAATTTGTTCTCATCACATAGAGAATAATGTTCTGAGCACAGCTCTGTTCAAGGCAGGAGAGACAGAAGTGGAAAATGTTCAGAGACTGGTTATTGCCCGCACAGGCAGTAAAGCATTTAAATTAATGGGAAAACTCCTAGTTACTTGCAATGTACCTTGGGGTATATATTAACAGGTATCTTCTCTCCACTCCAGTGGAGAGAAGATGCCTGTTAATATAGTGTTCGTAAGCATCAGAAAGTCATAATTTTCGAAAATCGTAACGTTTTTTCGTCAGAATATTGACTTGCAAATAGTTGTTCGTCCCAGATACATACGAGCGACCCCAACACAGCCACAGTCAGTGTCCAAGCGTTTATCAATGAGTGAGCACGATCCCACTCATTCATACATTTTGTAATGTTCCAATTGTTTTAGTGCTTGCAACTGCCAAATAAGCCACCATGGGCCGAAAGAAAGCTAGTGCCAGCCCTTTGGTAAAGAAGGTGACAAACACAATAGAATTAAAGAAAAAGATTGTAGAAAAATACAAAAGTGGTGGTGTTAGTGATAGTGGTAGAGGGTGGTAGTGATGGTGGTAGAGGGTGGCAGTGATGGTGGTAGGTGACAGTGGTTGTGATGGTGGTAGAAGATGGTAGTGGTTGTGATGGTGGTAGTGGTTTTCATGGTGGTAGAGGGGGGGTAGTGGTTGTGATGGTGGAAGAGGGGGATAGTGGTTGTGATGGTGGTAGAGGGTGGCAGTGATGGTGGTAGTGGCTGTGATGGTGGTAGAGGGTGGTAGTGGCTGTGATGGTGGTAGAGGGTGGTAGTGGCTGTGATGGTGGTAGAGGGTGGTAGTGGCTGTGATGATGGTAGAGGGTGGTAGTGGTTGTGATGGTGGTTAGAGGATGGTAGTGGTTGTGATGGTGGTAGAGGGTGGTAGTGGCTGTGATGGTGGTAGAGGGTGGTTGGCTGTGATGGTGGTAGAGGGTGGTAGTGGCTGTGATGGTGGTAGAGGGTGGTAGTGGTTGTGATGGTTGTAGAGGGTGGTAGTGGTTGTGATGGTGGTAGTGGTTGTGATGGTGGAGTGGTTGTGATGGTGGAGTGGATGCAGTAGTGGTTGTGATGGTGGTAGAGGGTGGTAGTGGTTGTGATGGTGGTAGAGGGTGGTAGTGGTTGTGATGGTGGTAGAGGGTGGTAGTAATGGAGATTTGTGCAATGTGGAGGAAGATGGAAAGATTTGTGACATTAAAAAACATAGAAGGGAAGTGACCCCAGACAAGGACTTGGTACCTAAGAGTCCTTATGGAGGGGGATTTCCCTTCCAAACAATAACTTCTCTCCCCTCCTCCCTGTCTTCCATCCACCAACAACAGCCTTCAATAAAGGTAAGTGTCATGATGAATGTTCATTCTTTTGTGTATGTAAATCTATCTTTAGAGTAAAAAAAAAATTTTTTTTGTTAATACTTCTGGGTGTCTGGAACGGATTAATTAAACTTGCATCATTTCTTATGGGGAAAATGGTTCTACAAATCGTCAATTTCGCCATTAGTCACACTCTCTGGAACGGATTAATTACGCAAAATGAGGGTCCACTGTACATACCTGAAAAATATTAAAGAGCCCAATCCTAAAGCTACACACTACCATAACTTACTGGAGTAAGAGATATAGCAGGAAATGTAAAATGAATTCATTGAAAAGGAGGAGCATCACAGGCACAAGTAGAGAATAGTGTCAAAAATTTATGGTCCGAGACTCTTCAACCTGCAACAGTACATATCAGAAATTTTGCTGGAAATAATGTAGAAGTCTTCAAGAAGAGGATCACTACCTCATACCAAGTGCCAAACCAACTGGAATGTGATGGCTATGTGGACCAGCAGGCCACTAACAGCAATACAGGTCAGAACACAAGAAAAACCCTCAAATCTGATCCCATACAAGGAATGAGCAATGGTTTGTGTTCTTTTGCAGCAACTCTCCTTGTGTGGAAAATAATGCTTGTTAAAACAAGCAAAGCCAATTAAACAAAAATGATAAAATCATATACTGTATGTAATTTGAGGGCCAATTCTACTTTTCAAAAACTAATCTCCACAGAGAGACTATTTCAGTTATAAAAACCATAGTTTGTTAATTTTTGGGTGTCACTATGAGTCATACTTGATAATTTTTCAGAATATGATTAATATGATTCATGATCAAAAAGTGAAAACCTAAATACTTTCGCTGAAATGTGAGCAGGATAATATTTATGAAGGGATTCATGGAAACCAGATAGCCAGACTTGAATCCTGGAGGTGGTAGTACAGTGCCTGCACTCTGAAGAAGTGGGGATATTGCAGTTTGGAGGGGCATCTGAGCTGTAACATCGGCATGCCTCTGGCAAGACGGTGATGGAATGAGTGATGATGAAAATGTTTATTCTTTTTTGGGTCACCCATCTCAGTGGGTGTAAATGGAGAACAGGAATAAATAAAGGGAATGTAAATAGTGCTAAAAAATATCTAGCCAAGACACAACTCGCAGCATTGGTTTTAAGTTGGAAAAAATTCAGATTCAGGAAGGATATAGGAAAGCACTGGTTTGGTAATAGAGTTGTGGATGAGTGGAACAAACTCTCAAGTACCGTCATAGAAGCTAAGACGTTGTGTAGTTTTAAAAATAGATTGGATAAATACACGAGTGGTTGTGGGTGAGTGTGAGTTGGACCTGACTAGCTTGTGCTAATAAGTCTGATGTCGTGCTCCTTCCTTAACCCTTAAACTGTCCAAACTTAGAT